GGTGACCAGCAAGGTGAAATTGATCGCGTGAACAAGTGAGCTTTACAAATTTGGAAGGTTTCATTCGATTGGGAGTTCCAATTAATGACATTAACATGTAACGAGTTTCATTCTACCACATACAACGTCTATAACATTAGGTTCATCTTTTGGCTCCCAAAATGTCCTCCCCCGACTCGCGGCCTTCACGTGGCGAACCGGATGAACCGCTCGCTGTCTCTTCGACAGCTGATGCGGTGACCGACAGCAAGCGGACAGGACGACGCCGTGGGACGCGAACACAAGACGCCCTGAGAAGGCGTCGGGCGGCAAGAGCTGCCAGGCGTCGACTCAAGCGCCAGCGTACCCGGGCACATCGCGATAGTTCTGAGAGGCGTAGGACACCCTCAGTTACTGCGAACTACAGTCCTCATAGTGGTGGATCCACCAGGTCGTACTTCCGTAGGGACGTAGACCCCAGTGTGATACGCATGTACACCTGGAACGTACGTTCTCTATTAGGATACGCCAACAGGTTGGCAGTCGTTGAGTCCTTGAAGGCGATCGGGAGTGATGTCCCAATAATCGCCCTACAGGAAACTCGACTACGAAAGGAAGTGCAAGGAGAATCGCTAGGGGATCACATCCTCTACAGCTCTCCTGCACTACGCGGAACAGCTATTCAAATAGAATAGCTCACATCACGTTGAACAGCGGCATAACCATTGTTGTGTGCTAGGCTCCCACAGAGGTAGCGCCGCAGGGTCAAAAAGATGAGTTTTGGGATGTTGTCGAAGAAGTGGTGAGACTAGAACGTCCGGAAATTGTCTGCGGTGACTTCAACGCCAGGCTAGGTTCAGATCTCGCAAGGGATCCGATCCACGGCCTCGGCAAGGCTTATGCCTATGAGGAGACCAATGACAATGGATGGAGACTAGTCATGCTTGCTGCTGCCTCACATATGGGCCATGCAGCGACTCATTTTCTCAAGCCCCAAACTCACCTTGGGACGTGGCTTAGCCCGGTAGAGAAGTGCTGGCATCAGCTAGATCACTTCCTGATCTGGAGCAACAGGAAACTACAAGTGCTGGATGTTCGTGTGAGACGGACAGTCATGGGGTCATCTGATCACTGTGCACTAGAACTCTCATTTCGTAACACAGCAACTTGTCGGCCCACCCGGCGTCTGCAAGGACGGAAACTAGCCTCACGTTCTATCGTTGATAGACGGGCTTTTAATGCGAAGGTCCGCGAAAAGGAAGCCCAGCATGAGTTCGAGATGGATATGATCCATACTTGTCCTCAGGATGGTGCCTACTCAGACGTAGTCCATGCATTTCAAGCTTCCATGCGTAAGCTGGATGGGGTGAAATCTTGTCCTGGAAAGCCCTGGTTCTCTGCATCTCATATCGCAGCTGCAGTTAGCGAGAAAAGACTGAAATGGAAGGCATTCCTATCTAGGAAGACGCCAGAAGCTTTCAAGTTATACCGCGAAGCTCGCAGTAACGTGGTTGCAGTAGTGAAAAAAGCTGAAGCCGATTTTATAGAGCTGAAGTGCTCTCAGATTGAGAACGCGGAAGCTCAACACGCTGTTGGGGATGTCGAGCGCCTCATCAACGAGTTGAAATCTGGCCTAGGCTTCACACTGACCCACAGACGACATGATCTCCTCTCTCCGCAGGTGTTTGCAAGTCATTTTACGCAACTATTTGCTCCGAAAACTTGCACTCTACCTGTTCTTGAGCCAGTCGACCTTCCAATAGAGCGTACGGGAGGGGATGACATCACCTTGAATGAGGTGAAGGACTCTCTCTGCTCTATGGATAATGGTAAAGCTCCCGGAGCAAATGGGGTGCTCACATCAGCTTTGAAAGCCGGTGGTGAGCATTGTCTGAGGATCTTACACCGCTTGTGCAAAGAGTGGTGGAGTGAACCGGAGACTATTCTCAGAGTTTTAGGACATTCCATTATTATCCCTTTCTGTACGAAAGGTGATAGGAAGGTAGCAGGCAACTATAGGGGGATAAATCTGCTCGATCATATCGGCAAGGTTTATTCCGGAGTTTTGGGGCAGAGGCTCAAGCCTCTAGCAGAGAGTTTCGTTGGAGAGAAGCAGTTCGGATTTCTCCCAGCGAAGGGCACTCTAGATGCGGTTCACGTACTACGTCGATGTCAGGAAGTCTGCAACCGGAATGGTCGCAGATTGTCCGCTGTCTTTCTAGATTTGAAAGCAGCCTTCGATAAAGTACCTCGTCCTGCGATCTGCAGAGCTCTCAGGCTAGCCGGATGTGATGAGAAGCTCATTTCAGCTATCGAATCACTACACCGTAATACTGTTGCACAGGTTAAAACTCAGGAAGGTTTATCTGACCCTTTCCCAATAGATATGGGAACTAGACAGGGGTGCCGAATAGCGCCTCTTCTGTTCATCATCTTCATGGAAATGGTGATCAGAGAAGCCAACCTGGATATCAGCTTGAGCATGCCTTGCGAGAGCGAGGGCAGTACGGAATCCGTGGACCTCTCATGTCTCCCGTTCGCGGACGACATCGTTTTATTGGCGGATGATGATTCTATTCTTCAGCGTAACTTGGATAAGCTTTCGGCAGCTCTGACTAGGTTTGGCATGGAAGTGTCCTTACCTAAGACGAAATGCATGATCTTATCTGAGGGATTGGGTGATTCCAATCTGCGTTTGAAGATAGGTGACTCTGACGTCGAAGAAGTAGATAAGTTCGTCTACTTAGGTAATCTCTTCCCGAAAGATAGGGATCTAGTAGCGCCATATCGGCACCGGGCGATAGCGGCTCTTGGGAAACTAAGTAGTCTCGCGCTTGTCCTGAAGTCCAATAAGGTGTCACTAGCATCCAAGGAGTCTATCATAGAACGTGTTGTCCTCGCTTCGGTACTTTACGGTTTGGAGACTGCTCCCTACCATGAAGAGTCGTTGAAGGCGTCTCGATGTGCTCCTGAATCGCTGTAGGAGAATGTCCCTTGGACTGACCCTCAGAGATAGGGTGCATGGAGAGCAACTTTGGGAAGGACTTCCTCTTATTGATCCGAAACATGTTTTAGCGCAGAGGAGATTGCGATGGGCAGGGAGGATTCTCACTACGAAACCAGTTGATGGTCTTGTGGTGAGGTCTTGTAGGCTCAAGCTTATTGAAAGACGTGGTAGGCCACCTACGATGTGGCAGACTAGTCTCAAAGCTGAGGCCAACCTGTTCAGGCCTTGTAAGTCACTCGTTGAAGCACTTGTGGTGGCTAAGGAGTTGTTTAAAGCTCCTATCCCTACTGTGCCGAGAGCGCCAAAGATATTTACTTGTTCACGTTGTGAGCGCTTTGGCAAGAAATATTTTCGGGCTAGCAATCTTGCTAAACACATGGAGAAGTGCGACGCGCAGCCTCCATTCTCTGTGAGAGGTGGCTAGTAGGGGCTGGTTCCATCAGACGTTCTGCCTTTTGGGCCCAGCCTCTGGGGGTTTTTAGTGGGTATGGTCATGCAAGTCCCACAGTATCCTTTTGAGGGCCAGTGGCCCTCAAAAACGGTGTGGCCCTGGGCCACACCTCCTAAGGTTCTCCGTAACCGGATTTTCCCCCCACAGGCTGGTAAATGCGTCAAAAAAAACATATAACATCTACAGCATTTCCAGGTCAATTTAACATTTTACCTGAATCTTCAATAATTAAACCACTTCTTTTGAAAGAATACCCTTTTTTTCAACTAATCCCGGCTGATTTCAACTTACTACCCAAAATTTTAGTTTAATAGCTTGTCTTTTTGAAAGCATACCCACTTCAATTAACTACGTTAGCTTTGGCTACACCAGACGGACCCGGAACTGACCTATGAATTTCAACGCTAGCCGCAATCCGCGAGAAACTCGCAGACTCGAGAAGGCCCCACAATCGTGAGGTCATTTCCTGAGGTGCACATCCTCTGAAGGACACTTACTAGGTATCCTTACTAAGTATTACTTAGCCGTGAGGCGAATCTTCCTCACAGAGACAGTACCGAGTGAGTAGTAGTCTACTGCTCACTCGGAAGTACGAGTAGGAATGAAGTTCGGAGTTTGGTAGGGTGTGCCACACCCACACACCCACACCCGGTGTGGGTGTGTTGCTATATAATGCTGTGGTCTGGTTTCGATTCTGTTGTGCGATGGAGCATTATCCTCTGCCTATGTGAACTTCCCAGGGTTGAGCTGCCTCTCATCACAGATGTGTATTACAAGTTGTAATTTACAACTCGTACGAGTCAGTCACCGGAGTCTTCCTTCTTCATAGAACCTCGCCTGCGCAACCAAAAGCACGACTTCTGAGTCGGACTCGGGGAGGCCCATCGCTCTTAAGATACTTCTATTTTCTGCTGCTTATAACCCTGCCTTGTGTGAGCCCGTTAGCCTCTGACGCCCGAGGGGTCACCGTGACGCCTCTTCCCGGTGCACTTAGACACGTATTCATACACGGATACAGATCCCCAGCAGTTTCATATCGGTACAGTATGAGTCGCAATTTGCGACTCGCGAATGTGCATACCTGCGTCCTATGCGCGGTATTTTGCACGAAGTAGGCGACGTGTAACGAAGTTGCGATCGCCCGTGTAGCCGAAACTAACGTCGTTAATTGAAGTGAGTAAGTTCTTGAAAAGACTAGCTATTATATTGAAATTTTGGGTAATAAGTTGAAATCAATCGGTAAAAGACTAAAAACATGGTATTTTTCCAAAGAAGTGGTTAAATGATCAAAATTTGGTAAAATATTAAATTGACCTTGAAATGCTGTAGAGTCTACAGTGTAGACGCTATG